TTCGTACTACTTTTCGTTTATAAGTTAGACTGTTAACACACACACACACAGACCATTTTGTGACACTTAGTTATTTGAACTCAGGGGACCTCAAAACAAGTATTTCCGTTGAAAACTGAGATTCGAAAATTTTCACGATCGCAATACTTACACTTACTATATATTTCATATATACGTAAATGAAAGTAATAAATGAAGATTTAAATAATAGAAATATTTTACCCCTTATGTCCAAATTTCGGAGTACCAGAAACCGCCGAGTACATTGTTGCTGTCTGTACCGCACCCAAAGCCAAGCTGCAGTGAGAAACAGGTCTCTTCGTTTTGACAGAGAACGATCACCTTCAGCTAATGAGTGCCGAAACCCAAGATTACGAGTTCAAATCCCCGTAACGGAGGATACAACTGTGATACAAATTCCCCACCCTCTCGCCTGGCTCCGGAAAACCCCATATAGACGAAAAGGTGATATAGGAGAGGAAAAGAAGAAAAAAAACCTTAGCATAGATTTTAAGTAACATAATTTAGTCATTCATTTGGATTATTTATTAAAGATCTTTAGTTTTTTACTTTCACTTACGTATATATGTAATATATAGTAAGGGTAAGTATTGCGATCGTGAAAATTTTAGAATCTCAGTTTTCAACGGAAATACATGTTTTGAGGTCCCCTGAGTTCAAATAACTAAGTGTCACAAAATTGTCTGTGTGTGTGTGTGTTAACAGTCTAGCTCATAAACGAAAAGTAGTACGAAACTGATAGTAAGTATTTCAGGTTTGTATATGGGCCGGATGTGACGACAGCAACTTTTTCGTTAAAATCGGCTAACCGGAAGTGCCACTTCATATGAACGCTGAAACACATTTTTAAAATTTTCTCAAGAACTACTCTAACGATTTTGATCAAACTCGGTGTATCATTGTATAATTAAGTGGTCTTTAATATCATTTAGGTCCCCGTTGATGTCACTTTATAGGGCTTAAATGCCCAATGTTCATATATGTCTTCCTCTAAAGTACCTTTAACATGGTTTATTTTAAAAAGTTAACCATTTCGGATTATTCAGAGTTTCGAAAAAATGCTACATATAACTTTTGAAAGAATTCGATAAATTAATAAAAGAGGAAAAAATAAAAATACAGAAAAACCTGCGTTCCTACAGACTGTAGCGCCTAAACGAATGTACCGATTTCAATGAAACTTCGCTAAAGTCATTTTCTCGATACCCTTTAAATTTATCTATATAACTTACTTCAACGAAAAGAAGCTGCAAAAAAAGTTACGAGGGATGTTAAAATTAAATTCCGAATAACTCAAACTGTATACGCTTTTTTGTTGATATTGTTTTTTAAAAGCTTATGGAATTTCCTTAAGAAACAAAAAAAAAAAAAATCGTTAAAATTGGACCATTAGGAGGAAAGATATGGTCTCTAGTTATTTTCCCTGTAGAGGTGAAAATTTGGATAAATTTAAAATATATATTTTAATTGTTGAAACTAAAAAAAACCTTTTTTCTACACATCTAAGAACATCTTTCATAAGAAAGTAGTACCTAAATTTATACTTTTATTCTCAGTTCTATATTACAACACTGCAATCACGACTTCTGGAATCAACACATTGTCTGCATAGATAACTTTTTCAACTAAAAATATCACTAAAATGATATCACTCAAAAATGTTAAAATTGGAGTTAGTCATTCTGTAGTTTATAAAAGCAAAGGAAGTTGTGTGGTTTATAAAAGCAGATGGAGTGACTAGATTTTTATTGCCTAACTTCGATATATTAAATAGACATTTTGTAATTATAATGGTCTTAATGACTTGTTATCTGTAAGCTTTAAGCTTTAGCTCCCTTTAAAATGCACTTCAAAAAATTTTATAATAGCCCAGCATTGCCAGAAAATAATTTCTATTCAAAGTAGATCGGTAAGTAAAAGTTGTGTGTTGCGCGCACCAGATTTTTTTCCCGATTATTTTAATCCGGGAGGAGAGCGAGAGAGTAAAGGATTATAGCCCCTCTCTTTTCCCTCTCCCATGCCCCTCTCACCCCCGAAGTCTTCCCCCTATGATAAAGGTAGTGACACCGTGAGCTTTAACCTGAGAGGCCTATGGACAACAATTTTCCGCCTCAAAGTTTCCCCTTTCAAGTCTGGAAGATGATTTCCTGCAGTGCCGGCTTTAAACATTTGGCGCCACCGGGAAATGACGTCATCTTCCCATTCATAAAAAAAAAATTCCTTAAGCTGTTTTATATTATGTAATATCTGAATTTGATTTCATTCAATATTTCTTTAATGCAGTTTCTTTACACTATAGACTAAAATTAATTATTTTAATGGGTTTTTACATATATATATTTTTAATTTTCCGGTTACCCGACCCTGAGACCGGCACTGATTTCCTGTACAATTTCTTGAAGATTTATTTTGGTATCGTAATAATCGTCTACTACTTTTATACGATTGGTAAAGGTATCCCCACATATATTATTACAGTAAGGCTCGGAATCGGTTTTGTACCAAATATAAGTTCCTCTCATGCTCAAATACCATGAATGGAGTACCGTTGGATTCAGAATTTCACGGGGGGTTAGCGAATCGTATTCTCCCCTTTTGTTTTTCTTTCTAAAATAAATAAAGCCGATAAGAACATTTTGCTAGGCTTGAATACTGGAACGGTGGTAGGTCTGTAGATCGATGCGGGACAAATTGGACCTTGAAGATTTTGATGCGTACAATGCGTACAAATCCTCCGGAACTATCGGATCCTGTGTTTTTAAGCCCGAAAACGTATTATTTTCGAGATAACGCAACGCATGGGGTTCGCATCCACACAACCTGGCGTTGATTGTAGTACTGTCATTGGATACATGTCTCATTTCTTCGACTTGAGGCCTCTATGATCGAGAGAGGAGGAATTTATATTATTTATCGATAGTGTTTTTTGATCGGCAAGCCATATCATCGTTAATTCTTCATAAAATCTCGAGATTGAGCTACCAATTTCGAAGGCTTCTCTCTTCTTCAGGAGGACAAAATAGTCCAATCACCCCGAAAATTCAGGCAACCAAGTTATGAAAGAAAAGAAACTTTATTTGCGAATAACTAAAAAATCACACACTTTTCCCTTAGTTATTCCCATAATTATATAAAACATTTTTTTTTTATATAAAAATTATATATAAATATAATATATAAAATTAATAAATATATAAAATTAATAAATATATAAAATTATATATTATATATAAAAATTTTATATAAAAATTATATAAAACATTTTGTTTTTCTATGACAAAACTACTTAGTTCGCGCCTCTTGTCCCGAAACTTAAAAATTAGAATCTATAAAACAATTATCTTGCCTACAGTTCTTTATGGATGCGAAACTTGGCCGCTTACATTAAGGGATGAGCAGCGTCTTAAGGTTTTTGAAAATAAAGTATTGCGTAGAATATTCGGACCGAAGAAGGATGAGTTAACCGGACAGTTCAAACGGTTACACAACGCCGAATTGCGTGAGCTGTATCCGGGTAATATAATTGAGGTAATTTCATCGCGGCGAATCAAATGGGCTTGTAAAGTTGTTGGGCTTAGTAACGATAGAATTCCTAAAAGGTTAATATTTGCTGTGCCGAATGGTAAGCGTCCGAGGGGTAGACCGAAGCGAAGGTGGGAAGATTGCATTAAAGCCGATCTGAAGGGACTGGGTTTGGACGGCGAACGGTGGAGGGAGGTGTGTAACAAGCGATTGGTGGTGTCGGCATCGAACCTTCGGGTTCGCTAAGCCTTATTATTATTATTATTATTATATAAAACATTACTAAATTGTCTACAAAAGGAAAAAAAATCATTTAAATCGGACAATTTTTCGCCAAGATACAGCTTATTAAAATTTGTAAATAAGTTGGTTCCAAACAAAAATGAAGATTCTAATTAATTTTGTTTCCTTTGTCGATTATATTTATGGATACAGTAACAATTGATTCCTTTATCTTTTGATACGTTGCATTATTTTATTTTCTTATTAATTTTGCATTAGATGACAATATGCTGAGCGAATTTTTCGCACGGGCCTGCTAGTTTACCTATATTTACGGTAGGTAAATATATTTACCTACCTAAGTGATAAGGAAAGTAAAAATTGAACCAAAATAAATGTTAATTGGTGTCTTTCTTAACAAATTTCTCACATTTCTTGAAAATAAACATTATTAAAATATATATTAAATCTCCTTTAATGGAAAAAGTACTTGAAGATTTGAAATAAAACACACTAGAAGAAATAGATTTCCGGTTCAGTGAGTTGGCAAACAGGCGATAAATGTTTCTGAAGAGGTCCCCATGGTGACAAAGGAGCCCCAGTCACGGTGCTGCATAAGCGAGTACTCTTGACCTTCGTCTGCGAGGATATAACTGACACTATTCCACAGCCGTCATCTCTTCGCCATGCCGAAGAACGGGGACATTTACTGGGAAGCGTTCCCTGTCTTCTCGGTCTCCAAGATTGTCGGAGTTGCTCCTTACACGGACACCTTCGTGCTCTCTGGTCGACACCTCGTTTACTCCTTCCTTTTCCTCCTGGTCAGCCTCGCCGACGCATGCTATCTCACCTTCAAGCTGCAAAAGATTTCTGACTTCTCTCTCATATTGGACAGGCTCCAACTCTTCATACTCGAGCTGTCTCTTGTCGTGTCCATCGTCAAATCGGTTACGAACGTCACTACTATCCGTTGGGTCATGAATAAGTTGGAGACTTTGGACTCGAACTTGGCCCGGATCGGAGTCCATGTTCAACACCAGAGACTCGACATGTTTACTGTCATGCTGACTCGAGTGTTCCTTGTGTTTACGCTATTTCTGTGTGACCTCTGGGAAATCAACGTTTATCGAACTTGGCGTAGCTTTCTCAACGCTTACGCTATGTTAGTTACAGTGCTCTTAGGGAACATTGTTCAAGTGCAGTTTATAGTATTACTAAATTTGGTTCAGAGGAGAATGCGTCTTTTAATAGTAAAATTGAATCAGTTTGCACTTTCAGACGGTTTTATAAAAACGAACAAGTTTCAAACTCTTCTATCGACGCATAGCTCTCTTGTTACAGTTTGTGAAAACATTAATGGTCTTTATTCACTTCAAATCCTTATCATTTTGTCATCCATCTTTGTTTTGTCCACTTCTAATCTTTATTATGTAATCCTAAAAACAATTGAAATGATAAATCTTCGCAGTTTTAGCCAAATGGATATGTTTTTGATGAATTGTTATAGGATTGTCGTAAGAGCTTATGAAGTGTGGACAATGGTGACATCATGCGTCTGTATGCAAGACCAGGTATGTTTCAAGAATTTATTTCAACGATTATTTTCATATAAATATTAAATAAACGATCTATTTAAAAAAAGTGAAAAATAACTGAATTGTTCTAAATGTAAAGAAAAAAAGTCAAGTGATAATTTTACGTTGATAGATCATTAATTCGGCTTGATTTTTTTGGGCGATTTGTAAACAGCATCGTTCGTATTTAAATCAAATTTATTTTAATCCACTTTTTCTTAAAATTTATTTTCTAATCCAATGTATACACTACCTTGCTCGAGGTCGCAGGTTCGAATCCCTGCTTATGAAATCCCTATAGTTCCATGAAGCCCTTTCCTCAACTCTTGTTAACAAATCAAAATGGCTACTGCTTCGTTAACTTTCCCTTTGTGATCGTTCCAGATCCTCTACCCCATCCTTTCCATTATTCCCTGATGATCTAAATTCGCATTTTATATCTGTTGCTAATACATCTCCTTTATCCTCCTCTTTCGGCTTTTCTCTAGAGATACCATTTAACGACAATAACTTTTATTTTTCTGACATTTCCCCCACAAACCTTTTTAACCACTGTAATGAAATCCCATACCAATTTCATAGGACCAGATGGCATCCCTGTCAAATTAATAAAATTTAATTAAAATAAAATATAATAGTAATGTCCATATGGATTGATAAGTATGCTGTGTATGAAGCAACCCTATGTAGTAGGGCAGCATTACTTTTAATAAAGTATTTCTCTCATCATAAATTATAAAAATCAAAAGGCACTTCCAGTAAAGTAGGCTTAATAAATGTTTGTTATGAAAAAAAAAGTTAGATTCGTTTTTAGTGTCCTTTGAAATCCTTAAATACAAATTTTTATTGAAAGAAAACATTGTAAAATTTAATACTTGATTTTTTTTTTCTGGTCAATAACTAAAGCATCCATTAGTTCTCAGGATTTTATTCAAATTCAACGTTAGTGGAATCGCTGGAAAGCTGAAGAAAAGTTACTTCTCTTTGAAACCACGTCGATAACTTTTAGTTTTCATCCCTCTTTAAATTAGATATTAAGAAAACGTCCCTTATCATTTTTATATTACTTCTTTGGTTTTAATTTGTTTACGGAGATCGGTTTTGTACCATTTCGTGTGGTATATAAATCCCTAAATACTTAATACGTTTTGTGTGAATCGGTGGAACCTTTCTAAAATTGCCACAATTTTTGTGATTGTTGACAACATTTTGAAGGATCCAGTCTGAGCCAAAATTTAGAGCATGAAATTTTAATTTTCCGATTGCTATAAAAATTCGTATGAAAGGGTTTTTGAAGTGCGAAAAGCGAGTATTAATTTTTTGTTTAAAAAAAAAAAAATTTACTCCCACATTGTAATCACCCCAAATAATAACTATCCTAATTATAACCACCCCTAACCACAAAAATTGTTATAACTTGATAACTACTACACTGATTCACACAAAAATGATTAGGTATTTATGACTTCGTATGCTACACGAAATATGATAAAACTGACCTCCGTAAATAAATAAGAGAGAAAGATATAAAATAAAAATGATTGGGAAGTTTTTCTTTTAATTTCTGGTGAAAAAAGAAATGAATTCTAAATTTTTCGATGTGGATCGGAGGAGTTTTAGCTTTTTATTTCCTTGGGCACATAGGAACGAAAGCAGGAGTATGTGTCCAATGTTTTTAGTATAAAAAAAAGTTTTGTAAAAAATTGGTTAAAATCTGTGACCCACTTGTAAATCTCCCATTGCAAATATATTGAGCAACTTGTATTTACCTAAAAATGTATTTTCATGTAGTAAAAATGATAAATTATGACAAAATGTTACTCAAGGATTAAAATGAAAAATAGATGAATATTGGGAACAATTTTGTTAATACATAATGGATAAATGGATGGATGAATGTTTATACATATTAAGCTAATCTATTTTATTTATATTCGCCTCTGCCCTAGAGGGTCATTGGCGGCGATTCTTAATTTTTATATTCTGTTGTAATATTTTGTTGTGATTAAATATTGGATGAGAATGACGACATCTTCCTCCTTGTCTCGCAAAATATCCTTCAATGTCGTGGAGAACATTAATTTTTTTCGTATTGGGGTTTTTCGTATTTAAGCTAATTGTATGCACATCAATAAAAAAAAAATGAATAAATTGTAAATTACTGTATGAGATACTTTCTTTATAAAAAAAAATAAGAGTCATTATTATTTATTGATGTACCATATCAATTTTATAATTTTGTTTTATATGTTTGCCGTCTCAGGGGTTATTTGGCCAATACATGAATTTACATAAAAAAATAAATAAAAAAACATTACTTTCTTATCGTCTATATATACTCCAAATAAAAAAATTTACGCCAAATAAACATGGTATTTACGCCTTTATTGTATTTTCGGCTAAATACACATGAAAGAACCTAAATTCTATCAATGATTTTATATGATCTCATACAAAATTTACGTTATTAATTTTTGCCTTCGCATTATCTGTGTTTCTTTAAGGATATTATATATCAATCGACTTTCTTTTTTTATTGTGGTGTATAAGCAAAAAATATTGACTATTGTATTAAATGAAAAAAAAATAAGAGTCATTATTATTTATTGATGTACCATATCGATTTTATAATTTTGTTTTATATGTTTGCCGTCTCAGGGGTTATTTGGCCAATACATGAATTTACATAAAAAAAACAAAAAAATAAATTAAAAAAAAACGATACTTTCCAATCGTCCATATATACTCCAAATAAAAAAAAAATAGATAATTATATAACACAAAAAACATGTTCTTACTGAAACAAGAAATTAAAATTAAATCTAAGGCCAACAAGTAAAATTAAATAAATCTATACGTAAATACATCTGTTTTAAGGAAAGAAAAAAAAATACAAAAATATAACTACTGCTCTATTAGGTGATGCTGTCGACTTACCTGTAACTTGAACTTAACAACTGCTTCAAAAACTTCAAATACCGCCAAAATACACGATCCATTGGAGATGCCCCTGCACCTCTTTTTCCTAATTTTTCCAGATAGTTTTAATCTCGAAAATAAGATCACCTTTTACTTCCTCTCACCTCCATATTTATACAAAAAAATCTGGTGCGCGCAACACACAACTTTACTCACTAGCGGATCCAGGATTTAATTTTGGGAGGGGGGGACTTCAGCCGTAAACCTTTTTTTTTTTCATAAAAATAACGATAATTACTTTGGAAAAACAGAAAAAAACTAACTATATGAAATGGTGTTTAAGTTATTCCTTAAGTACTTTTAAATGTAATTACACTAACAATAATACTTTAAGAGATATTTTTTAATTTTCTTCCATTTTGAATTTCCATTTTGGGGGGGCTTCAGCCCGAAAGCCCCCCCCCGTAGATCCGCCCGTGACTTTACTTACTCTTTGAACTTTGCTCAACTTTGAATAGAAATTATTGTCTGGTCATGTTGCATTTTTAACTGAGCTAAAGCTAAAAGATTGCAGCTAACAAATCATAAATAATATATTTTTTTTTTTTTATTAACGAAATTTACAACTGTAATTAATAATAAATACAACAAGTAAATATGCACAAGTAATATGACATGTACAACATGAGGAGAAACTACCCATTGGTAGCACTCCAATTATATTTCTATATTAGAAGGTCCCGAGGCCATCTTCTTTTTAGACGCCACGGAGGGTTATCAGGAATAGAAGAGGAAGCAAGGTTAGAAACGAGAGGGTTCGGGTGGTTCAGAAGTTTATTATAAAAGGACAGGTATCTGGATTGAGCTAAATCGGAAACATATGGTACATTAAGGTCATTATGGATGATTTTATTTGTGACAAAGTAGGGAGCATTAAGGATTTTACGAAGGATTTTGGATTGTAGGGATTGAATACGAGAGGAATTTGATGGTTTAGTAGAGTCCCAAAAATCGATTCCGTAAGTCCAAATAGGCCTTATTATAGTAATATATATGAGCCTTTTGTAAATAGTTGGCAGTTTAGAGCGTTTGTCTAGTAAGTGCTGGAGTAGTCGGAAACGTCGGGCGGTATAAATAATATTAAAATAACAAAAGTCCTACGCAGGTTGATTATTGATTGTATGATTCGTTGATTATGGATTTTTCGATCAGTTGATTATGGATTGTACGACTATTAGTTATTAAACTGTTATTTTCCATTGCAAAGTACATTAAAACGGAATTAAGAGATTTGCATTGTCTGTCATAGACAGATCAAAAGTTGTCACACTAATCTAAGTGGATTCTGTTGGAATATCGCAAAGAGAAAATTTATCAAATTATTCACTAATTTAATTTTCTAAAAGTTTACATGATGATTTTTCGGAATAAACGGACGATAGATACCTAAATATTTAAATATAATATCAGATCTAGAGTTATTAAACTACAGTAAATATATTTAAGGTTATAAACGTATCTACGAAATATTTTTATAATTCACTTCTTCTTTCACACAAGTACAATGAAATAGTAGTTGGTACTGTTGGAATATCACAAATGGAAGATCCATCAAATTATTCACTAAGTTAATTTTCTAAAAAGTTACATGACAATTTTTCGGAATAAACGTTGATACCTAATTATTTAAATATAATATCAGATCTATAATCACTAAACTACAGTAAATGTATTATAGGTTATAAACATATGCTTTATATATCCATGAAATGATTTTATATTTTACTTCTTCTTCCACACAACTACAATGAAATAGTTTTTTTAACAATGCCATTGCCTTGATTAGGCGAATTTTAAATACATTCTACAAAGGTAAAAATATTTTTTGAAGTTTACATTTAGTTTATATATACATATAAATTATGTATTATAAAATTCATGTAATCGTAAGAATTTTTAGTGATTAGCGGTCTAAGTTTAGTTCTGAAATAAATTTAGAATATTGAATACAACTATGTTTTAGGCCGCTGAATTCAACACTCTTTTATACCAGCTGATGATCGATGACAAAACGAATGATATTTCAAACAATGTAAGAAATGCTACGATATATTTTTTTTAAATAAATTAAATTTCTTTGGTTTTGTATATTTTCAATGTTTTTTTTGCTTTAGAAAAAATTACGTCTTCACATCTCGATGAAGAGGGAAGTTGTCTTCACTGCTTGTGGTTTCTTCCCACTGGATTATACATTGGTTCATTCGGTAGGTGCGGCCTATTGAGTCATTAATTAATTTAACTTTTGTTCCAAACGCCTATTCATCCCTTTTTTCCCAGTCCGCTGGTGTTCCTCAAGGTAGTATCCTAGGCCCTATCCTCTATACAGTTTACAGCTGACATCTCTACCTATCCCAACGCTACCATCACCACATATGCCGATGACACATGTATCCTATCAGTAAATAATGACCCAGCAACTGCATCCCAAATGTCATAAATCTAGAAGAATGGTGTCAAAACTGGAGAATTAAAATAAACTCCAATAAATCCCACCAAATTACCTTTACCCTTCGTCGTAAACCAACAACTTCCTGTCCTACAGTTTCCTTTAATAATACTCCACTTATCCCTGTTGAGCAAATCCGATACCTAGGACTCCACCTGGACAAACGACTAACTTGGAATCCTCATACTAGACTGAAACGACAAGAAACCGCTCGACGTTTCCGATTACTTCAGCACTTACTTGACAAACGTTCTAATCTTCCAATTAATTACAAAAGCCTCATATACTTGACTATAATAAGGCCTATTTGGCTATGGGGCTCCACTAAACCATCGAATTCCTCTCGTATCCAAGCCTTACAATCCAAAATCCTTCGTAAAATCCTCAATGCTCCCTACTATGTTACAAATAAAACCATCCATAATGACCTTAATGTTTCAGATCTGGTCCAATCCAGATACCTATCCTTCCATAATAAACTTCAGAATCATCCCAACCCCCTCCTTTCTAACCTTGCTTCCTCTTCAATTCCTGATAACCCTCCGAGGCGTGTGAAAAGAAGATGGCCCCGTGATCTCCTAATGTAAACATATTATTAGAGTGCTACCATTAGGTAGTTACTCAGCAAGTGATTTTCATGTCATTATATACATTATGTTCTAATTTACTAGATGTATTTATTTAATACAGATGTTAATGTCTTTAAGAAATAAAAAAAAAAAAAAAAACTTTTGTTCCAGCATTGAAAAGAAATGACTCAGATGAGGAGCTAGGCATGAACCTCTTTGGTGAGTAACGCCACCAAGATCCCGAGTTCATCTATCCGGCTATCACGGAGAGTAAAAATAAGGCCTATAAGAACATGATTCAGAAAAAGTATATGCGGCTGTCTTCAGAGGAATATAGGAGCAAACGACGAGATGAGAAGAGGACCCATAGAACAAAGAAAAATATTGGGAGTTGCACCTTCTTTAAAAAATACAGGAATGTAGAGGTTTGAATGAAAGAATATTCTATCGGTTGGTAGAACAGAGCAAAAGTCCATTCAAACCTCGTATAACGGCTTGTAGAAATGTGGATGGCTCCTTAATTACAGATTGGACTGAAGTACTGACAAGATGGACAGGACACTTGGACTCATTGCTAAATGAAGACGCGGGGATTGAAGCAGTAACGGGCATGGACATTGACAAAGAAGAAGGTATTGACCCTCCGGAATATAAGGAAGTCATCGAAGCAGTAATTAAGCTTAAACACAACAAGTCTCCGAGTGATAACAGAATTCCAGCATAGCTTTTGAAAGAGGGAAGTGAAAGACTGCATAATGCCATTTACGATATAATTTTGTCAATCTAGATTGGAGAAGGAATACCCGATGATCGGAGAGTGGGTATAATATGTTCAATCCACAAGAAGAGCGATGTCTTGAAATGTGACAATTATAGTGGCATTGCACTCCTACAATGATCATATAAAGTGCTTTCTAATGTTCTTTTCATGAAGCCTCTTTTATTTGCTGAGCGAGTAATTGGCAGATATCAGTCAGGATTTAGAAAGGGCGCGTCTACGGTGGATCAGATATTCGGGCTGCGTATGATTCTGGAAATAACAATGAAGTATAAGATGATCACACACGACCTTTTTATAGATTTCAGAAGCCTTTATGACAGCATTAAGAGGCCTAAGCTTTATGAAGCCTTGCGCGAATTCGGGATACTATCTTATCCAAATCACGATGAACGTTGTTAGGTGTACAATTCGGGAGCAACTTTACGTTTCTCTTTTTACTACTAGTGTCAATGTTAATCATATTACATATTTATATTTATTTATTTTTAATACTATAATATTTTTTTTTCAGATGATCGCCGCTGCTACAACTTACTTGGTAATCTTGATACAGTTCGGTGATCAGAGCAACAGTAAACCAACCACAGCGCCGCCAAACAGTACTGAGGCACAAACTCTACTCCCTATAACGATGACACCATCTTAGTTATTTATATATATAAATAACTAAGTTATATATATATATATATATATATATATATATATATATATATATATATATATATATATATATATATAAGTGTGTGTGTGTGTTTATTTGATTTCCCTTATGTAGTAAGCTTCAATGGAGGTAACCCTCTCCACAAAGTATAAAGTTAATTTGTTTTACATCAAGAGATTTTCCTGGTTGAACTTTCTGGAAAACATGTCCATTAAACAAAAATACATAAATATCAAGTAATCTATATGTTTTGGTATTGTTGAGAAATTTGAAGAAATCGAAACGGAATAAATAAATACATTTCCTCGATTCTGAAGACCTGGGAAATCATGGAAATATGATAACGCACAATTCCTTTTTAAGATAGGGATAGATAGAAAATGGCGGTTCTTCTACAACAATTTGCGGAGGAGAATATAGCCCTCGAGCCAGGGACTTATATTTTACTAACTTTAGTCAAAACGATTTTCTATGAGACTAACCTTACTACTAGATAGGTTAGTTTACCTAGGTCTCGTTATTAAGTAAATAATTTCATAAAAGTAAATAGTTGTTTATATCCCTAGTCTATATTATCATTAACCATTTTCTACTATTTTTTCTTTAAAAGTCAAGTAGGCAATAAATTGAAGAGAAAAAAAAGTGGAAACTTCACAATTTACTTATAGAAAAAAAAAATCATTAACTGTTGTGTTAATTTGCCATTAATTTTTCCACTTTTCTTAAAAATTGATTATTTTCGCAATACTTTTCCTAGATTTTTGTATGTAGTTGACTTATATTTTTCTAACTTTGGTCTAAACGATTTTCAGTCACTAGGAAGTAATTATTATATCTCCGTTTTTCTCTTGATGCCCAATATTATAAATGACAATGTCCAAATAAGCATATCTATGCTGTTTCTTTGTTATTATAACAGTAGATACCTAGATATATACAATATATGAGTATATGTACATGATTATGTAATAATACATATAAAATTGCAAATAATTTCTAATTAATGTTTTTAGAAATACAAAATATTTAAAAGAAACTGTACTTACAAGCGACCGCCTGTTGCACTGTTTCGGCCCATGCGCATGCGCCAATCCTCGGGTGTAAATTATTCCATTATTATTAATTTTGATAATTGATAAAGTAGGTTTTAGCACTAAATGTATAATTTATTTATGAAAAAATATTTTTAACTCTAAATAAATCGTGATTTTCAGTGAAAATTAATAAATGAAAATATTACAGCTTTGCCCAGGTACGTGAGTGGAGGGGGGGAGGACTTTAACGTTTCTCATTATCTTCAAAAATAATTATTCTCGGAAAAAAGTAATATTCATCACGGAATATTAATGTTTGAACAATACCAATCAATGTTGATCTACAATAATCTACTACTACTAATAATAATCTACAATACCAATCAATTTTGATCTGCAATAAATATAGACCAATTTTAATAAATCTGTATTTGTTTTATGGCTAATTTTGGTATCATTATTATTATGCTATATTTTTCAGTCCCAAAACTTTAATTGAAGATTATTATTACTATATTTTACAGTGTCAAACTTTTAATTGATTTGATTTTAATTAATAAAATCCCTTAAAATCAGTCTTCTCATTTCTGGTGATCCACTAGAACACTGAGATACTTCAATGTCTTTTCACACAGCAAGACTACAAACAAATTTTTTGTAGGCAGATACTTTTCAGATAAAAGGCCTGATCAGGAGCAAATGTCATCTCCATTTCATAAACGATCCATTGTGAAACGGTCAACTGCATTATATATTTTTGTACATTTAAATATGCCAAAAATTATACTATGTAATGTTAATGTGCTCAGTGCTTCATGTTATCTCGTTTAGAACTCTACTTTGTGTTTAATGTGTTAACTTCAGTTCTGACCATCGATGTGCTTGTAATGTGTACTTTTTCCCAATGAAAAGTACACTCTGTACTTTTTCCAATTATTTTATTGAATCATAATAATGACTCTTATTACTTTTATTGTATAAAATAATATTCTACAATCAGTCAAATAAAACTGTTAATAAAGCCTTTTTTTTATGGATTTATGTCTGAAATGTACTGTGATTTTGGTATATTTATTTAATTTCAATATATTAAATCTTTAGTTTTTTGAACTCTGAACTCACCTATATTGAGCTAGAATGCAGATATAATTCCTGAACTATTTTTCCACATATTTTCTAATATTGATTATTATTTTAAAATAATTATCATCCATCATATATTTTTTTTTAATCCTACCCGCAGAGATTAATTTTTCTTTGATAGCCTTATTTCATTGGAAGACTTATAACCTAAACAGGAGACTTAATAATTTAACATTTCTTTGTGAAGATGTAAACATAATTTAATTTGCCCACTTAAATTTCAATTTAAAAAAAACAAAGAGACCTTAAAAAAACAAAAAGAAAAAAGACCTTCAATACCCTCTCCGAAGAACAGACAACACCTGGGGAATAGCAAGCAAAGAAAAAGCCAATGAATTCGCTAAATATTTTGCAAAAGTATTTGGGACAAACACAATACAGGACAATAATCTTACTAACACAATAGAAGAAGAATTGATAAGACTAACCTAAAGACACTACCCTTATCATTACCCCCACTGGCATTTCTTCCAAAAGAAATCAACAGACTACCAAACAAAATGATCTAATCACTCCCTTTATTCTTCGACACCTACCTCGAAAAGCTGTTCTCTTTCTTACACCATCTATAATTCCATTTTACGCACAACCTATTTTCCTCTCCACAACTAAAATGATTCCTAAACCTTCAAAACCTACTACTACTCCTTCATCCTATCGTCCTATAGCACTTCTCCCAATAATGGGAAAAATATTTTTAAAACTACTCCTGAACCGTCTAAAGGCTATTCTAGAAATTAGTGAAGTGATATCAAACCACTAGTTTGACTTTCGTTGTTATCACTCTACTGTGCAACAGAGCTATCGGATAGTAGACGCTATCTCTAGAAAAAAGAATATTGCTCGGCGGTCTTTCTCGACATAGAGAAAGCATTTGATAGTGTCTGGCACAAGGGCCTACTATGGAAATTAAAACTGCACTTACCTTCCACTTATTTTTTTATTCTTCAATCCTACTTTCTTAATAGATTTTTCTGTACTTCCGTAGATTCTTCTGTTTCTTCCTTCTTCCCCCAACACAAGGTAGCATCTTAACTCCAATCCTCTATTCTATATACATCTCTGATATCCCTGAGCACTCTAGTACCACCATTTATTGCTTCACTGACGACACTGCTATTCTATCTTCACACAAAAATCCTACTATCAAATCAATTGCCATTCAAAACCACCTCCATAATCTTGAAAAGTGGTTTGAAAAATGTAAAATCAAAATAAATTGTAATAAATCCATCCACGTTAGTTTCTCTCTTAGGAAAGCCTCATGTCCACCCATAACGATTGCCAATAACCCAGTGCCTTCAAAGAACTATGTACGGTGCCTTGGACTCTACTTAGACAAAAGACTTACTTGGAACATAAATACAAAATTAAAAAGACTGAATGAACTCTCAATTTTCTGATGCTTCAAATTTTTTGCGGAAAATGTGATATAAGATTCACATAAAAATGGAAGGGTGCCCATGAATGAACCGTAAAATCCTAGGATATGGTGATACATATAATTATCTTTGAATATGAACTAAAATTTTATTAATAGGAACACAGAGCTTGGTACAATGCTTGCATACCTACTTCTAGTTCTTAACTTAGCTATTTTTCCTGTTTTTTGATTGATTTTAGTTTGCATATTTTATTCGTTCATGCAGATTAATTATTTATTTTGATTTTTTTTTTCTTTAAAATATTGAAGGGAAAATTTAAAATATTGCTAACAGGGCAAAACGATACTCCCGCTCCATCTCTATTTTTAATGGATTATCAGAAAATTGTGCACTTGTTTATTTGATATTCAAAAGCATCTGTCGTTTTAATACACTTACTGCATTTTTTTTTTATCAATATGTTGGATCGAAATTCACAAAAACATTTTTAAAATTTTAGCTTCATCAAAAATGTACCTCGATATTTTATTGTATTTTGATTTCATCATCATAATCCTCCTCTTTACAACATGAGCATGCGAGGTTCCTACTTGTTTAGCCGTCTCTGCATCCCTATTCTCCACCAATCCTTTTTTCCGCACTTAGATTCCTCTTGCAGAGGGTCTTATTAATGCTCACCTCCTAAAAGATTCTGGGCTTACCTCTGGAACATGTATCTTCTACCATAGGTTCATAAGGAGATGGCTAAACCAACTTAATTAGGACCTCTGTATTATAGTTTTCATTATAATTTCTGTTTCCTGGAGGTTTTGTTGTTATTTTCAAGGAAACATCAGATTGTAGCGGACCCAATATTATCAGCCATGAATGACAGTCACAAGACTAACAAGGACTCTTTCAATCAAGATTAATCCTATAGGTATCAATCAGACCGACACCATCTTAGCTCAGCTGAAGCCGAGATAACAGCCATTGTAGGTTTCATTATAAAAAGCTTTTTGGCCATTATTCTTTGTAGCATTGGACATCAATTGAATAGTGAAGATATAATAATCACTTCCTAGCGTCTCAATATCGTTTTGAAAAAAGTTAGAAAAATATAAGTCAACTACTTACAAAAATTAAGGAAACATATGGCAAAGATCATTAATTTGTTGAGAAAAAGGGAAAAATAACTGACAAATATACATGACAGTTAAAGATTAATTGTCTCTATAAGTAAAATGTGTAATTTTCCACTTTTTTAAAAAAATTATTGCCCATTCGACTATTTTAAAAAAAATTAGTCAAAGATTGTTTATAACAATATAAACTAGGAATATGAAAAACTATATATTTTAAATAAAAATCAGTGATGTACAAGATTACGAGGGCTAGGAAACTAACAGAACTAGTAGAATACTTAAGTCTCGCCACCACTTTTATCTCAGCCTCCCCTCCACTTCTCGTAATTGAAGCTTTGATTTCCAGATTTCCAAAAATCCGTCAATCAAATCCATCAGTACATCAGTCATAACTTTACACGATCAATCAGAATATCAATAGTATCTCGGAATGTCATTCCGACAAACCATGTAGGGTCCGCTTATGTAAATAATAGTATAAAGCTAGACTTATTTCCAAGACTAGTTATCCTTTCACACCTCTTTTATGTTGAAAATGCCTTATTTTAAATATTATTTATTATTTTTAATATTCAGATTGTACTGAAGGTCTCTGTCTTCATTTCATTTAGGAAATAAATGATACCAAAGCTTAAGATCTGGATAAAATATTTTATAATCTTATTTTATAACAAGTAAACATTATTGTCAGGATATAATATTGCACCTGAACTAATAAAAAATTCATTAATTAAAAAAATTTATAAATACTGATACAACTCAATATTTAAACATATAGTTTGTCACAAAAGATAATTCATGGTTCACAACAACAAAAAATCAACCAGTGAAGCCTATATTTTAACTGGTATAAATACTGATTCAATCGTACTGAGATGCTATCGCAAGATTTTTTTTTTCCAATTCCATGCCATAGTTATTTTTCATCTTTGTTAATATTCAACAGAGATAACTTGCACAATAAAAAAATTAATGCTAGTTGAGCTCACAAATGAACTGATCAAAATTAACACAAAAAAGATAATTATAATTTTATTAATAATTTGTACAAACATTATAATACAAACTTCACAATAAAATAACAAATAAAAAATTTCTGAGAAACTAAATTTATTCAGCTCCCTCGATTGCAACTTCGGTGACAGTGGGAGCAAAGATAGGACCTTGCCTAACATAATCTATGATAGATTCGTAAACGTGAGGTTCGAGTATGGCATCTGCCGTGTCAGTTTCGATAATGGCTTTAAGTATATTGTACTTCATATGATGTCCTTCTAAATCTGTTTCTGTCCTCCTGTCCAGTAAGAAATCCATCAAACCTGAACAAACATATAGGAATCATTGAATAAAGAATAAATAAATTTATAATGGTATGAAAATTGTTGACAATAAATCGAATTTAAGGAGAAGTTGGTCCGAGATTCAGTAGTGACTGACAAAGGTAGGAAACTGATCAACCCGGACCGAGACCGCAACCCCGACCAACTTCTTAAACAAATAAATTTAATAAGTATGGTATGCGATTATTAATATTTGTAGATTATGGAATGAATAAATAAAAAAAAAAAAAAGTGCCTGTCACTTGGTTCTTATTTTCTAGATGGTCCCAAACCAATTTTATCAAATTCTATTACCATTTGAGGATGGAAAAAGAGATTATAATATACCTATGTATCAAAATTGGGTCATTCGATTAGGGACAAAGTTGGAATAAATTTGGAGAATAATGTGTAGATGGTCTGGTATCAATTTCATGAATTTTCAATTATCAATTAGAATTATTGTTAAGAATATAATGACTATAGCATGTGGTAGGTAATAAACAATATAACAAGAGGAGCTTAAATAAGTTTTTAAACTAAATGTGATTTAATATATTGATTTATTTGATTGTTTGAGCCATTTGTCCCAGTTGTTTGAGTATCGATGCCTATATAAAAAAAAACCCAATGAATAGGGTGAAGCAATAATTTTTTTTTTTTTCAAAAATGAACCTGAATATTAAAAATAGTTGTGCGAAAATAAGTTTATTGCCAAAACTGGCATTTATTTCAAGGAATGTGTAAATAATCTATTAAGAGTTAATTGTAAATAACCTGTTTTGGCGGAAATTGTGAATATTCCTTCCTTCCAATAGTGAATATTTACTTCAAGCAGTCAGGTGTGTTTTTTTTCTTTTTCTTTCTTATTCTCTTTCTTATTTCAACCTTCTCAGTTTCTTTCCTCCTTCCTTTCATTCCTTTTCTCTGTTTTAACTCTTTATTATATTATACATTGTCTGTACATCTTGATAGACTTTACAACATCTCAATTTTCTATCTAACTATTCTATTCACAATATCTTAATTGTACTATTTATTTCCATTTCTTATATGACTTCATATTTTTCTGTTTTACATTTTATTCTAAGATTCCCATTTCAATACTTATGTCACCTTTTTGATTATGTTTACTTCATCATTCCACACTTTGTACCGGTTATTATTATCTCAGCGGCACTGCTGCCATCTATCGGCCCTATTCAGGCTTCTTCCTTTCTTTGTTCTACCAGCGTCTTCTTCTTCGATTGTTTATTAATTTGATACTTTTCCATAAACAACTTGTCCAATTGAGTACAATTTATAGTGCAACCTCACATTCCTATATATTCCTTCTCATTCCCTCACACAATATCACATAAAGGATTAAATATTGGGGGATATCTACTACATACTATATACTACAAATATAATGCATTTATTAAAAAAAAACAAAAAACAATTCATTAAAAGTTTTTTTTACCATTTCATTCATATGAAAATTAAGAATTAATTACTTTTATTGCACCATTATCATAAAAAAAAAAGTTAAATTTCCATATAACAATTTTAATAACTTTTTTCACCCTGATTCATACACTATGTTTTTCTCTCTAAACTGGACCTATTTAAGTTTCAATGTCTTTTTCTTATAATTAAAATAATCAAAACTTTTCGATAATAAATGCTACAAATTAAGAATTTTTTTTTTATTTTTATTTTTTTTTATTTTATCTTTTTTGAATTTTTTTTTATTTATTTTCTCATGACAGTGCCAGTACATCTGCTGATTGTCAATAGTTGTAATTGAGAGGTGCGGATAAATATATGTAAGTGCAAAAAAAAAGAATTTTTGAATTTATTTTTCTAAAAAATATTGGTTTTTATATTAAGATTGGAAAAAAATAATAAGGGTTCACTTTGGAATAAACAAATAATTGTATTCAGTTTGAAATGAAATTATAATCTTAGTGAAGTGTATGTGAAAAATGATGAGGAAACTATATTGATTGATCAAGCAGATTTTTTTTTTTTTTCTTGGTTGATTACAAAGACTCATTATTAAAAATAAAAATAATTCATCGAACAAAATTCATTAATACACAGTAAAGAAGAAGACTCACCCTCGTAACAATTTATCTTGTATTGGCCCCATCTCTGATTGGCCATGTTCAAAAGGACCAAATAGCCAGCGGCTTTGAGTTCGGGGAACGGTTGGCGGGCGATGGTGACAAGCATGCTCATTCCTGAAGTGCCGAGTTGGTTGAACCAAGCCTCGTTGACCCTCGTGATTTCGTTTGTTATTCTATCGGTCTGTTAAAATACAGAATAATAAATAAACATTAAATAAAAAGTAATAACAATAAATCTATATCTAAAAGACAATTAATATTTTGAAGTTACCTCTACGTGGATAATATTAGCTAAAACGTGAACTGCTCTAATCCTCCATTCAGTAGGCAACTTCGACATAGCTTCATGTAGCCTACCCATGATATGCCTCATATACTTTTCATCTAAATCAAGCATAGTTCAAGAATATTAGAGATAGATATAAATAAATTTAATTATAAATCAGCTTTTTATATTACGTAATACAAACCAATGTTTTCAAGAAATGACTAAAAACCCTCCAAGGACAATATTTTTTAAATAAACAGAGACTTAACCAGACAGCTCCTTGTAACCTCCCTAACTACGGCTGTTTGGTGTATGGAGGGCTATCTGCCAGGCTGGAAATGAGACTAAAGAGACTCATGAATTGTTTCATAAGATACATTTTCGGGATCCCCAGGCGTTCACATGTTTCAGTCTGGTACACCGAGTTGAAGTGGCTTTATCCTACTTCCCGACGACCATTCCTCCTTGGTGTTTTCCTTTTCCAAGTCTTCAGAACCAAAAACCCTCTCTACACCCTGGAACTGCTTACTCTGGGCTCCTCTATCCACTCTCTCAATACTAGGTCTCAACCTATAGACCTATATATTCCCTCCCATAAAACTTCCTCCTTCAGCAAATCCTTCGTCATTCATGCTGCTTCCTTATGGAACTCACTTCCTACCTCCATGCGTTAATCCTCGTCCATAAATTCCTTCAAACAACTCCTGTTCCAACACCTACTCCACATTCAAACTTCCCCTAACATGTAAAATTACTTGCATCTATACAATGTTTAATTTCAATTTTTTGCACAATTGAAATAACAATTAACAGTAAATTAGTTGGTATTTTTATTATGTCAGACTGAGATACATAAATTTGTCACTCTGTTATTATTATTAGGGGACAGTAGTCCCAGAATAAAATTATTTTTTCAAAAAAAAAAATTAACGAAGCTAATCAATTAGAAGACTTAAGAATTGAAAAGATTTTATTCAGTTTATAATTTATTAATTGTAAGAAAACAGAATCTTTACTATGTATTTTTATAATTGATAATTTATATTACAATAGGTCATAGGTATAGAAGCTAGCCTTTTGTTAACTGGCACACACTATATGGACAAATATTTCATGACCGCAGTCAAGTGTGCATCTTATATGATTACTAACTCCTACCGAGTCAGTTTAAACTAAACTGTACTTAATATGAGGCAGCATTTTTATAAATTATCAGTAGTGCATTAATGCATTGATCGAGTGAAAGATTGACCAAGCCGTTTCACTTTGTCTAGAACTATGTACGCATATGCCTTTCCTCTTCGCTGACGAACTCAATTCCACAAACTTTAAAATAAATATTTATTTTATGTAACTTAGTATATCTTCTATTTCTTTCATGGCATTACAATTCTTGTAGAGCCTGCTGCAATATGTTTACGCCAGTCATCTCTGTTGGTTGCAGCTGCCCTCTAGTTGATAATAACCTTCCTGTTCCATTTCTTTTTATGAAACAGTACTAATAGAGATTTTTTTGGAAACATTAACACAAAATTTGTCGAAAAAACAACTTAATGTTAGTATATATTGTATATTATTAGATTCTCAAAACCTTTTTAGAAAGCTATGGTTAAATGAAATATAAAAGTCAAGCTAACAATATGAAAGCCTCTGTACAGAGTGGTATCGGGTATCTGTAAAGGGAGAGGAGCGGCAAAGGTTGCCTGCAAAGGCGAAGGCGTTCTTGACTGTTTTCATAAAGCTTCCAACTCTTATTTCTCCTTTAGATATCAATCAATTTTCTTCATTCGTGATGTTTAACCATTTTTTATATCAAAACTATCTGAAAATACATAGTATATGTATGTGTAAACAGAAATAGAAGTAATTTTTTGGAAGTACATTTGCTGTCTTATATTTTTCAGTTATCCTTGGAAGGTTTTTTGTCCTCGCCTTTACAGCTATATGGGGTTTTTAGAGGGTAGAGTATTAATGCCAGAGTTAAAAGCCTTCCTGGTACCAAGACACGAACTCAATTATTTTATCATATTATCTTCTATTTATCAGGTTGCCAGGCAATGCGTGATTTGCACACGTGTTAGCCCGCTCGGCCACCTCAACTCACCTTGGAGAATTGATATATACAAGGAGAATTCAAATATATCAGAATGAATATATACGTCCTTGTGAGTTCTCCTGAGTCTACAAAATGAACTCATTCTGTCTTCATCAAAGCTCCAAATCCTAAGATTTTCCTGATACAAAATACTGAATTGTTTCATATGAAATTTCAGGAGTACTTAGTGGTTACTCCAGAATTGTAAGGAACAAACACAAGTTTTGATATTAAATATTAAAAAAATATATATCTATAAAGAAACAAATTATAAAGAAATATTATATTTACATAATTTTTTTTTAATTATTTATTCTGTTTCATTAGCCATAGGGCGACCCTGGGATTACGAGACCCTCCTGGGGCACACCCAGCCTCAGTGGATACTCATGGGTAGTTAATTAAATAATTAATTAAAGGGAAAACGTGGTGGTTGAGCGTGATCTCAGTCAAATCACCTCCTTGCACGACCGTTGACTAAGAAACAGTATTTACCCTAAATAGTACTGAACCCAAGACCCTTCATGGGTCTTAGTGGTACAGGTTTTTTTTTTTAATATTTTTTTAAATAAAACATGATTGAAACATATCTTACTTCTTAGCTAACAAAATATTTAAGGAAGTGTCTAATTATTGTGGACCAATGTTTGTTAAAAAGCTGGAGTTAAATTTCTAGCAATATCAATTATTCTTTTCTATAACAGAATAACACATGAAATGATGCAGTTAAACAAATTCAAATTCTAATAAAAAATAATAATAAATATACAATTTTATAATAGTCTGCACCTTGTTTCTGAAGAACAGCTTTTCCTTCAGGCGTGTATGCGATTAGACCGATTAATTCTAGCGCTGGAATATAAATGTTCAGATCAGTGGAATCGACTGCGCTGAATCCACATCGTAAAATATCCACATGGTTTGATAAAAGTTTTTCAGGAAACGCCTGTGCTACAAGTCCAAAGAATTTCGATAAACCTGAGAACAGTAATTAAAGCAGTCATTAAACTTTATTTTCCTTTTTGACCACTATCAGAAATTTGTTAATATTGTTTAGTAATTTTCTGCACATAAAGTTGGGAATAATCTGATTTAAAAAAAATAAATAATAAATATATATATATATATATATATATATATATATATATATATATATATATATATATATAATTTTTTTTTTAATCTTATTTACTATAACCTTAAATACATTTACACACAATATTAAAAAAAAATCTGGTGCACGCATTGCAAGACTTTCACTTAACACACTCTTCTTAGCAGAAATAAGTATTTTCAGACAAAAGGGAACTGAAAGTAAAAATTATAGACATTATATTTATTTATATTTCATTATGGGTATTTATATTTGTTTAATTACCCTTATATATAGAAATTTTAATTTTTATACTGCTGTAATCTATACAATTAAATATTAAATAATACCAACGATAGCATTTATGAAAACCGTATATTTATATGTAAATAATATTGTTGGAGTCTGTATTATATTAAGCTCATGTTGCATGGATATTAAGCTCATATATGGAAGCCTGTTAATCTTTTGGGAGAGCGCCTATTCCTTTGATTCCTCTATTACAACTATTATCCGTCATGATCTCTTATTTCTCCTTTAGTTAATTATCAAATTCTTTCATATTTTATATTTAACTATTTTATATATCAAAGATTAATGTGAAATGATTAATTATTTCAAATAAAAAAAAATTAAAGGTACTTTAGAGGTAGCTAATATTGAAAATTAGCTATTTAAGTCCTGTTAGAAAACATCAATGAGAATAAAACCTACATTATATTAAAAACTGCTAAATAATACACTGAATTACTGAGTTTAATCAAAATCAAAATCATTAGAGCTGTTTTTGAGAAAAATGTTGCTATAACATCCCAGGCTTATAAAAACCTCAAATACGCAATGTCAGTTTCGCATGACTTTTTGTTTTTGAGCTAGGCTGTTCACATAAATACACACAGACATACATACACACACACACTCAAACAGACCATTTTGTGAGACTTGGTTATTTGGACTGAAGGTACCTCAAAAAGTGTATTTCTGTTGAAAACTCTGATTCAAAAATGTTCACGATCGCAATACTTACCCTTACTATATATTACATATATAGGTAAGCGAAAATAAAAAAGTAATAAGATAACCTTAAATACTTAAACTGGCAATCTCATTGGACCAGCAGTAAGAATGCAATCAGCCAATGTTTTTTTTTAGATTAGGCAAAAATCAACACTATCATTCACACATTACTCACATTACACGCACACTTTAAATATGATGGAATCTGACAGCAGAATAGGCGAACATTCTCAAAAGCTACAAAACAAGGGCTTCACATCAGATTTCATAAGGTCTGAACACATTTTAGAACTAAAGCTCTACCAGTAAGAGAGACTGGGTATGGTTGTGCCAGGCACTGGAAGCAGAGCTTTAGTTCTAAAATGTGTCGTCTGATAGTCGTCATATTAGCAAAACTATAACGAATAGCCAATAGGGTTCAAAGGGAAAAAGAAGTGACCTGCTTAGTCTCAACATATTTCATAGTTTCGCTGATGAATCATGCAACATTAACCTTAGAAACTATTTTATCCAAGTTACTAGTTCACTATTTTTTAACAGACAAAAGTAAGTATTATTATTTGTAAAGAATCAGTAATGAGTGTTTTTGTATTTTTAAGAAAACTCAAAATCCAGGATTATTTTCTGGGAAACCCAATATCATCTGCATATTACAGAATTTTATGATTCATTTCAATGAGCACCACTCTATTTCCACATTGTTGTTCTCATCACCTTTTCCGGAGTCAAGTTGATAAAATATGCACAGTAGGTTGGCTGTCCAACTATCTCAAGATGAGTTCATGGAGCATTATGACTAATTACTGGGGTACATATTATACATATAATCTTTTCTAATAGGAATAGATGATTAAAAATTTTGAATTAAGTTTCAGCTAGATATTAAGTTAACTTATACAACCCTGGCTCCTACACTATTCTACTCAAATTAATATGAAACATTTTATTTTCAGGATTTCATAATAAATTTCAAGATCAATTAATTAAAATTATAAATATATATATGTATGTATGTATATGTATATATTTTAATTATAAATACCAGGAAATGTAAGCGATGATATAGCAGGATAGTCATTGTACGACGCCAGTTGATTAACAAGATTTTTGATCACACCATGGCGGCTTAGAAAATCAAAACCGTAGTCAGTGGTAGCTAATTTTGTACAGACCTCAAGTAAGGCAAGCATTGACAATACATCATCGGTACCGAGAAACGTTGAAAGCCTATCGAGTAGTCCTTCATTTTCAAGGTATTTCAAAGATTCTAGTGAACTGACACCAATATCAACAAGGACCTTAAAAAAATACAAAATAAATACAATTACCATCTATATAATTATATAATATGTACCTATATGATGTACCTTAAATATTAGTATACATCTAAATTTATTAACTATTTAGATAATGTAAAAAAATGAAATACATGCTTCTTCAACTTTGGCTTAATAACATCGACCCTGACGAACGGAGCAGTAATCATAAACATAATTAAAACTAACTAAATGCACTTGCACAGTATTTACTTGTATTTAAGTATTGTGAAAGATCACTGTAAAGCACAGGGATAAACTTATAAGAATATTGAAATCGACTTAAAAATAATTACTGGATTGATTAGCGGAGAAAATAAGTGTATTTGTACCAGACAGAAAGAATAAAAACCATAACTTTAACTTTTTTTCAACAATGTATTTACATTTTTAAAAGTTCTATTAAATAATACTGAAATCAAGAAGAACACAAAATTAACTTGGGCTTAAATAAACTGAAAATTCATTTGCTATGCATATGTAAGGTGAATATGACATAATTCGCAAGATCTCTTAAGAAAATAAATCATTTATTTGCTTTTTTATGATTAGGAAAGAAGTATTAAAATTACAGTTTTTAATAGTTTTATCTTTTTTTTTTAATGAATGATAATTTCATTTTTTTTAAATTGGACTAATTTTTTCAATAAATTTATTTGGTTTTTAATAGAATTTCCTGACTGTGGATTTATTTAATTAATCATACTAATACAACTTAACTAAGGAATAACAATTTATTAACGAACCTGGAAGAATATACATATATTTTTTATTTAACTGGTTAGTTTTTGAGAGTACTTTACACTACATTAATTTTCAGTTGGCTAATTAATCAACAGTTCATTAAAAGCAGTAAACATGATGATAAAAATAAACAAACATTATAAAATGATACTAATTTGAGATTTTTTTTTTTTATCTTTAAAACAAAATAAAGAACTGGACCCCCATAAGTCCTAAATGGATTAGGTATGTTACTGAGTGTAGTAAAATATTCCATCCACTTTGCCATTTCATAAATTCTTAGCTTTATTGTAAAATACTAAAATGTTTATGCATAATTTAAACTCATTAATAAATACCAATATTTAATGAAGTTGTACAAATAGAATAATATACAGCATATTCAATCAATTTGATCATGGAGAACATTCAGTTTCTAACACGTTAAAAACATTCACCTTCTTAAACTCGGATGAAAGAGATCTCTAAACTTTTGAGAGAAAAGTATTGAGACACTTCTATGTTCTAATGATGAATGAATCAACATAAAGACAGCTAACAAACAGGGAATAATACTTCTTTTTTATTTGAGCCTGAATCGTCGAAAACGACAGGCTAAGCCAGGAAGGCTAAGATGGCAGATTGGGGCTTGATGACATATAAAAAAAAACTCCTTGTTGACAACATATACAGAACCAGACCGAGATTCGGCCCAAAGCTTTGATAGGTAAATGTCCTGTTTTATTGTTCTCAAAAATAAATAAACACTTCCGTAAGCATTTGTAATATTAAGGAACAATAAAACAAAGAGCTTTTGTCGATGGTAGTGACTACCTCACTCATGCTAAAAAAACCTTTTACCAGAAATGCCTAGGTGGAGTAAAGAAAAAAATTCCATTTTGTGGATTCAATTTCCACCAGGGTCAGTTAATACATATTTACCGCACAGCTTCACTTCAACAACTTAACTAACAGAAGCTACTTGGTGAAACCAGGACCCAATATAAAAACAGCTACTAAAAGAATCTGTGTTTAATTCCATCTTTGGTTTAATTGATAACTGAATAAATAAATTCTAAATATAAACAACTCACCTCAAAAACTCGAACAGCATATATATTATTGTTTCCAATGTTATTAATTAATTTCCTGATGATGGTAGGTTGGCAAATTGCTTGGAGACCACTTTTAGTTTTACCAAGACTTACGAAAAAATCGACAGCACGGCATCCGACAGAGGTATCTTCATCACAAAGACTCGTGACAGCCGAAGGGAGGAAATCAGATTCCTGATGGATTAGTGCCATCATAGCATCGCTTCCGACACATCTTATTAACTGAAAGAGAAAGATTTTCAAATCATACAGCACAACATTAAAATAAAATTAATAAAAATGTTATAATTGTAATTTTAACATAAAAAATGAATTCTTCAATTGTCTTAACCAATCAAACAAAGCTCATTTACAAGATAAAGAGGAAAGTAAAATTTTAATTTAAAGCCATGGATTCTATCATTGCATCAGAGATACACTGTTATATTTACAAGTCAATCACTTACAATAAAAGTGGTTTCTAAAACCTCACAATAAATTTATCACTAAACCAGCAAATTAATAAAGTATCCGGAAAAAAAAACAATTCCAAATCACTAAACACAATAAAATTAAGCACATAATTTTTAAATACCTCTTTAAGAACTGTCTCCTTGACTTCTTTGTATGGGTGAGTTAAGGCTCGATTTATCGCTGCACCATATTGACTCAATAAGTGAGATGCAGAAAGTGAAGGTAAAAATAACTTTAAAACGTCGCATGTTATCAGTATTTGATTCCTATGAAATATTAAACAAATATAAATACAGACGAATTATATAGGAAAATCTAATAAATAAATTTTTAAAATAAAACATACAATATTCTTCAAACTGAAATACAACAAGTATTAGTAAGGTTGTTCTTATCTTTATTGTAAAGATATTTTATTTATGGTGTGATTTAGACACATCACTTCTGCATAGTTCTGACTAGAACAAAAGGTACTAGATTACAAGTATCAGGTGTGTCATGATCATATAGATCATACTGTAGATGGAATTCTGTAAATAGCCAAGTGTTAACTACTACATTCATGGATGGACTGCACATGTATTCATGGAAGAGTAAAAATACTGATCAAAATATTAAGAAAATGAGGTACTTCAAGCAACATTTTAAGCTTTTGTTATTCCTTGACAGTCTCTATCAACAAAGCCTCTTCCTTAAGTTGCTCCAAACATCAACTCCACCTCTTTTTATATTAATTCTCTGATCAAATGTAAAGTTAACCTCAAATATCCACATATATTATTACAGTAAGGCTCGAAATCGGTTTTGTACCAAATATAAGCTCCTGTCATGCTCAAATACCATGAATGGGGTACCGTTGGATTCAGAATTTCACGGGCGGTTAGCGAATCGTATTTTCCACTTTTGTTTTTCTTTCTAAAATAAATAAAGTCGATACAAACATTTTGCTAGGCTTCAATATAGGAATGGTTGTAGGTCTGTAGATCGATACAGGACAAATTGGATCTTGAAGATTTTGATGCGTACAGCAAGACCCGGATAGTTCCTTCGTCTATCGGATCCTGCATTTTTAAGCCGAAAAACGTACTATTTTCGAGATAACGCAAGGCATAGGGTTTGCATCCGCACAACCTTACATTAATTGTAGTACTGTCATTGAATACATGTCTCATTTCGTCGACTTGAGGTCTCTATGATCGAGACAAGAGGAGTTTATATTATTTATCGATGGTGTTTTTGATCGGCAAGCCATATCATCGTTAATTTTTCACCAAATCTCAAGATTGAGCCAGCAATTTCGAAGGCTTCCTTCTCCTTCAGGCTGGCAAAATAGTCCAATCACCCAGAAAATTCAGGCAAACAAGTTATGAAATAAAATAAACTTTATTTGCGAATAACTGAAAAATTACACACTTTTCCCTTGGAAAAAAAAATCATTGAAATCGGACAATTTTTAGCAAAGATACAGCTTACTGAAATTTGTAAACATGTTGGTTCCATACAAAAATGTAGATTTAAATTAGTTTTTGTTTTCTTTGTCGATTATATTTATCGATAAAGTAACATTTGATTTCTTTATCTTTTGATACGTTACATTATTTTATTTTGTTATTAATCTGGCATTTGATAACAATATGTTGTGCGAATTTTTCACACGGGCCTACTAGTTTATATTATTGGTGAATTGTTTGAAAGATTTTTTTCTTGCACAACTTTCTTGCCTTCATATTGCATGAAATACTTAAAAGGTTTACTTTGGTTATTAACAATATTTCCATATCTCATTTCAAGTGCCCCTCTATTTTCATAATTTGTAGTATAGGAGACTTAAAACCATATAATAGAAATAAACAAAATCGTTCCAGATAATGGAGAATCTCAAAAAATTTTACTTCAATGGGTAATTTAATGTAAAGTATAAGACAAGATTGTAAACAACGTTTAAAACATACAGAAAAATGAAAACCTGAAGCAACAAGACAAAACTTTCAACAATTGTTTATCAGTAGTATTCAATCAAATTCTTATCATTATTTACAAAATAACCATAGAACCCCCAAAATTTAAAACTGTAAACAATGGCGCAGTTTTGAATTGAAGTTGACTCTATGTCCAAATTGTAGCCAAGATGATAATAAATCATTATCACAAAAGGCTAAAAGAAATGCAGGGATCGATTACAAATCAATATATTTCTCCACTCTTCTCTACTTTAACAAATTAGCCTCACAACTTAAAACAGTTATTAACAGAGTAACTGAAAATGTTATTAAGGGATCTTCAACTTTTCTTTAGCCAAAATAATTTAAAATGCGAAATTATAGACATCCACAAGAAAAAAAGTATTGATAAACAAAACAAAACATTACATTCTGAAACTTCTCAATCCATTCCTTATAAAATTCGGTCGGTGGTAACATATGTTTCGTCTCATTTTAATAAATAGTAACCAATGTTATTTTTCTTAATAGTTGTAAGATTATTTATCACTGATAACACAAAATACCTGTTGGAAGAATTGAGACAGTCAAATAGGTAGTTGAGTTGTGATTCTCTGGCTAAATCACCGAGCTGATGTGAATTGAGTCCAGTTAATGCCACTTTAAGGTCAGACAAATTAGATTCAACTTCAACATCATTTCTTATGTTGTTAATGAAATTTCGAACATTCGCGTTTATCCCACTCATGGTGACTGACAGTTCCTAACAACAGTGTCGCCACAACCAAATTAATCTAGAATTTTACATTTTTAGATATTTAAAAATAACTTAACACTGTAGATTTTAAAGTGAAAATTTTGAATATTAATAGTAGTAATTTATATTGGTTTTCTGATCTAATTGAAAAGGCACACCTTGTTTTATAAGTAATATTTAAAAGTAGGGGGGCACTTTAACATATTTTAATTTAACATGAAACTGTTTAACATAGCATAAAATGTACTTGATTGCCACACTAATAAGTGCCTTTAGGAGTATTTAAATTATAATTTTAAGGCTTTATAAAGTTACTCTTCTTCTCATTAAATTGTTTAGCTTTACCTTTGTTTATATACTAGAATTTTCACACAATGATGCACTAATTTCAAAATTTTATTAATATATTTCATTATTGTGTTTCCTATACATCAGTGTGTAAAATATTATCTGAAAGTGGGAAAGAAAATTAATTATGGTAAGAATGGAAAAAGTAATCCATTACAATTGCAGTCATTTTAAACGGAATAATTATCTTAACTTGTCAAATTTCTAATATTTTTAGCACAAAAAATAATTATGACTATTATAAATTGGTAACATTTTACACAAGTCCATATTTTAATAATATTTAAAACAAAATTTTAAACCAAGAAAAAAAAATGTGGTCACATTACACTTTCTATCTAAGAGTGATTTACATTGCAAAACTTAAAATCATCAAAATAGCATGTTCAGAAATCAAATTTTCTGAATCTTTGAAAAATAAAACCAATCCCCCATTCAGTCCACTTAAATCTACCAGATTATTACAGCAATGATGAAAGTTATTTTAAAATTAAAATTTTAATTTTAAGAAAAAGTTATTGTTTAAGATGAATAAATAAATAAATAAAAGCTTTGAAATGGCAAATTAAATCCTAATTTGATAATTTGACTATTTTTTTTTTCAATACAAAATTTAATTTTAAATGTTTAATAACCATAAATTTAGTTATATAAAACTACCTAACCTCAATTTAAATAGTATTATGAAAATTTTTGAAAACATATAAGTGAATTGGCATTTTGGTTAAAAGATAGCAACCGAAGAAAAATGTATAATACAAGTTAAAGAATAAATAAGAGATTGATTTATTCAGAAAATTCCTTTATTTTCATAATTTCCAATTATATCAGAGGAATTAAAAACATGATTTACACTTAAAACTTAATGGCTGCTTGCGCGTAACAGTTAAATTAAGACTTATAAATCAAACATCTTACTACTATGAATTTAAATAGGAATTAAAAAAAAAAAACCTTCATTTAAAACCTCTTCATCTAGCTCTGATAATATCCTATGCTCACCCCTGGTTCATTTAGCATGTTTCAATCATTTCTGTCATATTTTCTTTGATTTTTCTTACATTGAGTATCCTGGCATTGATTTGGAATACTAAGCAATAATGGTATCCACGTAGGCCCTTGATGGTATGTACAGCTCATCAAATTAGATCTATGCCTCCTATTGTTCAAAATATTGTCTCTCTGATTCATTGTTTTAACGTCCAGCGAGTTCCACGTTCCTTTGTAAATATTCTTTTCAGTGAGCTTCTTATGGCCAGGTCATTTGATGTAGCATTTACCCATTTCCACTTATATTTTCCTGGACGTTGTACTTGTTTATTTATATTTTTAAGTAAAGAAGTTTCTATAAATGATGATTAGAAAATTTCACACAGTTAGAAACAGAGTATGCCTAAGGGAAGTGGAAGGGACAATCTTTCCTGGGCCCCACAGAATTTTTTATTAATTAATTACTTTCACTGTAAAATAATTACAAGTATTTTTCTTTTATAAGGCAAGAATTGTTTGTTTTTACTAGTAATTTTCGCTTTATGTATTTATTTAAATGTATTGATACACAGAACTCAAGAAAAATTATTTATTAATCAGTCAAAGCATAGAACAAGAAAGAATTTTCATTTGTTAACGAGAATGTCTCATTTTGTACTTATATTTAATTGGCTAATTATTCAACAGAACATTAAAAACAATGAAGATGGCAATGGAAATTAAAAACATGAAGAAACAATACTTTTTAATTTTATTTTTGAGATCTTCAAGAAAAGAAATTCAGCTTTGGCCCCAATTAGAATAGGTATACCACTTTATAGAAATATTAATTTTTTATAAAAGACATTAAATACAGGAAATAAGCTTAAAATGAATCATATAGAGAAAAACTATGGAGTAAAACCTCCACTATATTACCATTATAATATATTAGGTAATATTTTAAATTGCAGTAATGAGGTGCTAACACTCGTATGAGCCTTAAATTAGCTAACATTTGAAATCAGATACTATCTTAAAGTCCGTTTTAAATCCAATTTAATTTAATGAATATAAGAACTGTTGAGAGGATAAGTCATTTTCATATTTATTAATTAATTATTCAGTAGTAAAATTCACACTTTTAAATAATAGGATATTCTTGAGACTATTTTACAAAGAAAGTAAACTGTCATTAATTAATAAGAAATATCTATTATTATTCTATATCTACCTTTTAGAAAACTTTTCAAAGCTTCAGTTTGTTACTTACACCATTTTTGCGTTCAACAGTCCATATATTGACAAAGGCAGTCTAAAAATGTAAAAGCCACTTACAAAAAATACATGAACATGTCTCTGTATATATGTACAGTGATGGAAAAAAGTATTTGCACATCATGTTTTTATGAATAAATGAGTTCAAGGAATCAAAAAACTTAGCTTTCCTCTGCAAAAATGAAAAGTACATTTGTTAAAACTGAGAAAAACCTTTTGGAAAAAAATGACAACACTCCATAATGAAACAAAAAAATTAAAACAATAAAAGTGCTTGGAAAAAAGTATTTGCACACTATGACTCACAAGCTCTGTTTACTTTGACATTAATCCTCCTATGTCCATAGGTCATAGCTTTGTTTACTAATTTATCTCTCATCGTTTATTACCAGTATTCTCTAGTCTTTCAATCAGTTTCCTTTAGTCAATAGACAATTATCATGCCAAAGACAAGTGAACTGTGTGCTGCAATTCGCGAAAAAAATTGTTTTACTGAGGAGTCAGCAAAAAACAGATCGCCAAATTGCCAATTTCTTAGGGTTGAATTTTTCTACAGTGAGATACGTCATAAAAAGGTATGAAGAACGTGGTTCAACTGAAAACAGTGAGCGTAAAGGGTGTCCAAAAAAGTTAACTCCCAGGCTGAAGAGGAAAATCAGAAAAGAAGCTCTTAAAAATCCTCTGATAAGTTCTCGGAAGCTGGCTACCATGGTCCAATCAACGTCTGGAGTTCAGATTACTAGCAGAACAATTAGATATGCCCTAAAATCGGAAGGGCTTCAAGAAAGAAGCCATACATCAGTGAAACGAATTGCAAAAAGCGCTTTGCTTTTGCTAGGGAGTACGTACAGAAACCCTTAAGCTTTTGGGAAAATGTCATCCTTTCTGACGAAAGCAAATTTAATTTGTTTGGTTCAGTGTCGAGATGGCGACATCGTAATGAAGCCCTAAAGAAGCAAAATGTTTTAACAACTGTAAAGCATGGTGGAGGACATGTTATGGTTCAGGGGTGTGTTTCCTACCATGGCGTGGGAAATCTTGTGTGCATCGAAGGCATTTTAAATGCAGAAGGCTATGTGAACATTTTGCGACGTAATTTCGACGTGTTAGTGTCGAAAAAATGGGAATTCAGGATCAGTACTATTTCCAGCAGGACAACAATCCAAAACATACTTCGAGGAGAACAAAAGAGTGGTTAATATTTAATGTTCCAAGACAGCTCCACACTCCTCCTCAGTCACCAGATATAAATATCATTGAAAATTTATGGCACACCCTTGACCAAAATGTAAGAAAACACCATATCACTAGTGGACATCACCTTAAACAACTTCTTGTTCAAGAATGGGAACAAATAAAAGTATATTTAATTAAAAACCTAGTGCATTCAATCCCCAGACGTCTACAAGCAATTATTGACGCAAATGGCCTATTTACAAAATATTAAAACTATTTAAATTTAAAATAAACTTGTAAATGTGGAAGTGTGCAAATACTTTTTTCCAAGCACTTTTATTGTTTTAATTATTTTCTTTGATTATGAAGTGTTTTTATTTTTTCGTAAAAAGGTTTTTTCAGTTTTTAATAAATTTACTTTTCATTTTTGCAGAGGAAAGCGAAGTTTTTTGTTTCCTTGAACTACTTTATTCATGAAAACGTGTTGTGCAAATATTTTTTCCATCACTGTATGTAGCCAATATAGTAATATGTTTTCCATCACTAAAGAATTTAAATTACTATCCATAATCGGATATCAATAAAATAAGGTAGTCCAATATTTTATCACAAAATAAATTGTTGTATTTGATATGTTTTTTTCAAATTTGGAATAGGTTTTAGGTTCAACAAACAATCAATGAAAACCATCAATGTATAAAATATATTTAATTATAAAAATAACATTATATTTCTATATCAGAAAATGTTTCATGCTAATCTTGAATTAAAATAATAACATTTTATTACTTAGAGTAATATAATTTAAAAAAAAAATAACTAAACCTCTGTAACAAGAAAAGGAAACATTAATGTTTAAAAAATAAACAATGGTAATAATACAGTAAACTAATTTCTGTATTATACAATAACAAAAAAAAAAGTACAATTCTATTCATAATTTCTATAAATAAAATTGTTTATAACAGAATATTTCAAACTTAATCTAATGTATGTTATATTTTTCTGTTTATTTTTAAGCATTGGCAAATCTGTTTAATTACAATAAAATAACTTAATTTTAATATTAGCTAAATAATTTAAGAGGCTAATTGAGAATCAATTTCAAAAACTGCTCTTTCAAATGAATTAATGTGTTTTAAAAATCACAATAGGCAAGAAACTTTAAATAAACTATACTTTTAATCTAATTAAAAATCACAAGATTAAAGTAGTTTTATAAATGCAATTTGATAAAGCTTTCCATATGACAATAATTTTATTTGAATTTTTATAATTCAATACTTCTGGTAACCTCTTTTCTATTAAATAATACTACACAACCTCTTTTGTTCGGTTCATGCCTTGCTACAAAATAAATATGCATTATTATATAAAAATCAAATTGATATTTACACCAGCCCATTCAATGATATAATTTCCTTCGAGAAAGGAATTCCACAACTTTTAAGAACTATGTACAATATATTCAAAAATTAAATGATCACCATTGTATTATTAGCAATCATCAAAAGAGTTCAGTACAATCTGATATTTATTTAATCAGTACACTGTTATATTTAAATAATAATTATCATATTTAATAACAATAAAACAAAAATACTGCAATATATTTATAAGTCATAACTTATTTTTATATTATCCTAGTTCATTTTACTCCAGGTTTTGAATAAATTTATGGCAGTGTCGGCCTTAGACATTAAGTGCCCACAGAGCAATGACATAATTTCCCCACAAAATATTAAATTGATTTCTTAAACTGTTTTATATTAAGTAACACGTACTTGAATTTGTATTTCATTCAACATGGCTCTTTCATTTTATTATTTTTGGCTCTCTCCTTCCTCGCCTTTTATGCTATATGGTGTTTTCCTAGGGCAGGAGGTGAGGGCATAGGATTAATGCCAGAGTTAAAAGACCTCCTGGCACCGGAACACCAACTTATGACTATTTTATCAAATTATCTCAAATACCAGGTCGCCGGGCAACGGCGGTGCTGTGCACACACATTAGCCCGCTCGTACACCATTCAACATGGCTCTAATACAGTAGCTTTATTAAAAGGCTAGAATTAATATTCTCATATACTTTGTAATTTTTTTAATTGTTAGCCAGTGGTAGGCGCTCCTGGGGAATTGCCCAGCCCTAAAGCCGGCACTGATATTCGGTTTACAGGCATTATTTTTATTAATCCTTCAATTAAAAAACAATAAGACTAAAACTGTTAAAACAGAATAATATAATAAAATCATTAATTTTTATGATAGTAAAAGATTAAACTCCCTCTATTTAGTGTTATAATACAGAGAAAAGAAAGGAAACACACATACCTGAATTTTCAATAATTTTGACTTGAATGGTTCAGAAATAAACTAAATTAAAAAATAAAACTGGGCAAAATAGCTGTAAAAATGTATTTACTTAATTTTTTTTAAAACACAAAACCTGCAAATTTATTTCCAATAATATATACGTTATTATTTTAAGCCATAATAGCAAACATGTTATAACAAAAATAAATAAATTTTAACAATTCAAAAGTTTACCTTAGTTAATTGTGAGAAATTTCTTTAGGGATCGCATATGTTAAAACATTATTAAAATAGCATATTTGATTTTTAGAATTTCAGATGTAGGAAGAACAAATGTTAAATACATGAATATTTTTATAAAATATTTATATATTATAACACATAAACACCAAACACTCATTGCACTAATATATAGATCAATCACAGAAAGTCTACAGGCAAAAGGTACGATTGTCATAGCCTGAATTCACTAAAATGACACTTAAGAGGTAATTTCGTTGAAAGGCAGCTATAATTTTGTATAAATATGCAACATACTCTGATAAATGAAAAATAAAAAGCTAACAACAAATAGAAAGTTTAAATACTGAAAATTTCAGTACAATACAGAGAAACAGACAGTCGTCGTGTGGGTGAGGTGATTGTTCAAAGGAGTTCCACAAATTAGATACCAAAAATAAATAATATTCATGAAAACAAAACTATTTCTATCCATATTGCACTTTTTAATTCATTCCTATTCATCTTTTTTAGGCCTTTAAACACAAGAAGTTGCAAAGCAGAAATAATTATTTCTAATCTCAGTTTTAAAAAACATTACAACATTAAATTAAATTTAGCAGCCATTGGTGGAAATGAAAAGGTATAAAAAGTATAACTCACAAACATGAGGAAATAGGCTACAGGTCTATTAGGAAGCGTGAGAGGAATCCTGTCAAATTCCGCCTACTACCCACTCGACGGCCATGTGTTAGAGTACTCTTCACTCAAACTACCAACTGATAATAAATAAATTGACTAATAATGAAAAAACATTTTAAAACTTACAGCAAGGAATAGATAAATCAAACAGTTCATGTTTAATAAAAAGGGCCAACAAAGAGAATAAAAAAAATCAAAGGGCCTTTTGGTTTAGTAGATTATCAATCAATTTCAAATAATATCTTAAATAATGTAATTCAATACAATTTTCAAATTTTATTACATTTTTCGAAACTTAAAACGAAATTTTTAGTGAAGAGTATACATTTACTTGATCATTCATCTCTTTACAACAATTTTAGTTTTATTTCATCTCCCATTCCTTCTATTACATGAATTTTTATATTATACCTTGGTCCCAGCTGCCTCACATAATTAATGTCCTAGAGTACAATCTATAAATTAAAATATGCAAATTTATAAGAAATTAATTTTATATTTTCACTTATTCCAAAAACTTCATATCTAATCTATATATTTCAAACCTTTATTCAATGAATCTACATTAAAGATAAAGTAAAATATTATATAGCTCAAGATATTTTCATTAATAATATATTAAAAATTCATTTGAACAAGAATGAAGGTAATTACAAAATTCCTTCCATCGAATTGAACTAGAGCATTGAAATATGGTTCTGGTAATTAAAGAAAATAAAAAATTTAAAACAAAAAACCGTAAACTAGCATCACTAAAATTAAGAAAATAAAATAGAAACAATAAATATTTCTTCATTCAGAAAATTGAATTTTAGGATGTTGAGAAACTTAATTATTCAGTGATACATAATTTTGTTGACTATATAAATTAAAATCCATACAAATAAAATTAAACTTTTAAATACATAAAGTGGTAACATGAATTGCTTACATTATTTAAAAATAACATTTATAAGTGAAGACACCATTTTATATTAATAGTAAAAAATTACATTTAAAAAAACAAATATTTACAAATAAACAATAATTATGCTGACTACAACAAGTGCTGAATTGTCAAATGAAAGAAGAACATATATTAAAAGTAAAATATTTCTAATAATAAATTAAAAGTTATTTAACAAAACTATGAAGGGAAAAGAATGGTATCTTCAATGTGAGAAAAGCAACCAGCGTGATAGTAATACTTTATCAGGTGTAGCTTTTATGAAAGATACATATTTTCCAACAGTGATAATGTTTAAATGGTCATTAATCGACATAGACAATGAATGATATGAACTTTGGTTAACACTTCAACAATCCACCCTTAACTTACTTTAAGCAAAGTTGATTCAATCTACAAAAACATTGTGATGTAAAATTCAAAATAATCACTTACCGATTCATCTAGAAGTTACAATAACAAACTGTGACAGTGGAATAAAAAAGTAATTTCATGATTAATGAAAAAAAAGTGAACCAAATGAATGATTAAAAGAGCTTTTTCTTTACAGCAGTGTAACGTTCCATATACTCATCATATCCATCCAGTTCCATGAAATTCTTCATATCAAACAAATTTCCCTCTGCATTGATTGTAGAAATATTAGAATGGGCTAATATTTTAGGTGGTACATCAGACAGTCTTAAACAATTTTCTTGAATTCTGAGCGTTTTCAACCGAGGGCAATCCGCAATTTCCTCAGCTAAGCTAGCAATCTGATTTTGGTTAAGATTCAATTCAGTAACAGATAGAGAACCAACATCACTAGGAATTGATTCAATTTTGTTACAAGAGAGATCTAATAGATCTAAATGTTTTAGATTGCAAAGCATTAAAGGAAATGTTTTCAGTTCATTCCTTTGAAGCTCAACCTTTTTAAGATTCAGTAATTGGGACAATGAAGAAGGCAAGGAATTAAGTCTGTTGAAAGAAGCAGTAAGAATTTCCAATTTGACTAATTTTCCAATTTCAGAAGGCAATTGTGTGAGGTTATTATGATCAAGATTCAGATTTTTTAAAAGCATAAACGTACCGATATCAGGAGGCAATCGGTTGAATTTATTCGATGAGAGGTCTAAAGATCTCAAAACTCCGGCCAATTGCTTCAATTCTGGAGGAAATTCGTCCAACCTGCTTTTTGAAATATTGAGAACTCCTGTTTTTTCCGCTGTAGCATAATGTTTCTTCAACGGTGAATTTCCCATTTGATCTGCCTTGTCTGTTAAATCATCGAATCGAGCCGGCAAAAGCTAGTTACGTAAATAAAATACAAATACGAAAGGAAAAGTATTGGAGCCTACGGAGTATCGTAGACAGCTGTCTGGTTATCTCACTGATAAACTGACTCAGCTGACAGTCCCCCCAGAGGTCAGGTTTGCAAGGAAGCTTCATGTGTGAGCTGCCCACTTTAAGATGGAGGGCAAAGATCGGAGTATTTTCCTTCCAATATGTTAATGGCTAGTTTTAGTTACACAATTATGAACCCGAAACGATGTTTCCAAACCTTGGAGTGTCCGTAGCTTCGATTGAGTCGTCCCTCGATTATGTCTACAACGCCGAAATCAGAAAAACATGTACCAAGTGAGTAAACTTCATTTTGCATTTATTCCGAATCCGTTTTATTTAATACTAGTTTTATTCGAATTTGTGTATTATTATTTAAGTGAACCCAATCGGAAGCGTATTCATCAATTAATCGATGGGTATTTATAGCATTTTCGTTTAAGTTTTAATCATTAACGGATTGTAGATGTTGAGTTGACATGTAAACGATCCCGGTTCTTCTTATTACCGATTGATTTATTAGTTCTTGAATTAGTATAAACATTTTTTAATTAATCAAATGAGTCAGTTCATAGAATTGAGGTATTTAAAACGTTAATTTTACAAAATTGTCATCTTAATGTATGTGTTAACAAGCAAAAATTGATCTGTTTCAATTCAAAATGAACATTTTAAACTAAATATTTCCTTAGAACAGATATATTGAGTTGAATCAAATTACAATTTAATGTAATATTAAGCAATACTAAATCATGTAATTGTCCAAGTTATATGTTAAACTCAGATGATAGGAATATATTATTTGTATTGTTACAAGTCCGCATACATATGTTATTTTTATCAGAGAAATCAACCCACGATTTAATTTGTTGAATTTTCCCTCTTTTTTTTTCTAATACCTGGACCTTGCTAACTTTCCCTCCATTTAATCCACTTAGCCTAATGTTGACCAATTTATGATTTACCAATATAAAATATTCTTTCTCTTAACACGAGTAAAAGTCTTTTCAATGTACAACATATATCTATATATTTATAACTCCTAATAGAAGATTTTTTATTCTTAAAAAACAATATATTCATTTAAAAGTTTATACGAATTCTATAAAACTAGATGCGCAGATAATTCATTTATTTGTGACAGTTTATCCAATTTATCTTACACAATATATCATTAATTATTAGATTTTTACTCAATTTGTTGATTCTTACTTCTCTTAATATTTGAGTTTTAAGAATATATTTCCATAAACTCAAATAAGTCAATAATCTATACAACTGGTTGCTTTTTACTAAATTATTTACTTCGGTATTATAATCTTTTCATATCGATACATTTAATTAGTTAATGGTTTACTGTATTTTGATTTTTTTTTTTATTAATATCGATAATAACTCTTGTAATGAGAGTGTCTTTTACTTTGGAAATGTTTAGTTTTAGTTGAGTTTTGAAATGTAAGTGTAGTTTCACAAATTTTGGAATTTTATTTACAACTTATTAGCTCTTAAAATCACAAACACAATGACTTGCATAAAATTTGAATTAATTCAAGGTAATAATCAAGGTGATTGTAGTTATAAATTAATGGAAGAAACTGTGGAAAAGTTTTAAATGTTTTAATTTTTATATTGTTTCTTATGCAGCTTATTTTTTTTTTTAACTGTAATATTTGTCTTATAGTATTATGTCTATAAACCTAAATAATTTTCTTAATGAATCTAAAAATTTAAATAATTTTTATGTTATTAATTTTTATTCCGAATTTACAATAGCTTATGCTTATGCTGTGTCTCATAAGAACTCAAAATCGAACTCCTGTCGTATCCAATCACTTACTATATGCTGTGGTTGGTTTGTTCACTGATATTGTCAAAATTAATGGTCTGAACATCATATTAGTTTGTCTAAATAGGTTTAAATTAAATTGGTCTAAATAAAAAAAGGGAGGAAAAAATTGCACCATTACAATCCATATAGGTTCTTGTGTTAAGTACTTTGTTAGAAAGTTCTGACTGAGGTTAATTGGCCTTATCATACTCAACTGCCAGTCTTTTTCCTTCAATTAGGGATTTATTGAGGCAGGATATACCCCAAGAAGGTGTACTGACACCAGTGTCGACTCAAGGCTGATGTTATAACGGAATAAATTATCATTATACTCGAACGACAGTCTGGTAGAAAAGAACACCTTACTGAGCTATCTCGCTCTATTTAGAAAATAAATAAATATTCATCATCGGTTTATTGCAAAAAGTCACTAACTGCATTTCTGATGGAGCTGGACTTTCAAGAATGTTTTTTGTGAATTTCAATGCTATTTATCGATTAAAGAAAAAGTAAGTGCACAATTTTCTGATCTAACGAAGGTAAAATTGGTCTAAATTCTTAATGATTTAAGATTATGAAATGTCACTTTATCACTTTTTGCAACAAACTGATGATATTACCTCTAATAAACATTGTTTAGTTATCCGATATGGTTGTCATGATAACTGTTTTAGAGCAGATATATTTTGGGATTTGTAGTATCACTTGTTTATAATATCAGATATTAGGTTTGTTCTAACACCAATTTTGACTATCAGCAAACTGTCATCCGCATGAGCAATACAGTTTTTTCATTCCAAAACCCCTGTATCCCATAAGCCCCTGGAATGGAACAACCATACTGCACATGTATCGTAGAATTTAATGATAGTCAAAACGTATCTTTTATTTTACATTAATATTTTTTCCATATGAGCACCTGTCCTAAATTATCATTAAAAATCTATCTTCTCAGATGTAGCACTGTTTTCAACAAAAATAATTATAATGAGTTTTTACAAAGTTTTTTTTTGTCTGTAATGTAGGATATATTATTATTGAAGAGAAGAATGGTTTATCTTTACTAATTTTTATTTTGACTGATCACTCCAACCATCCTCTTCAATTATTCACTACAGTCGACCGTCAACTCACAGATATATTATTATAAATTAATTAACAAAACCTACTTTTATTTATTTAAAATAATGTAAAATAAAATATTTTATGGTGGCTATGATCGAAAGAAGAGTGGAGTAGTTCAGTGAATTAGACTGTTCAATGCTCCCGTTGATTATATAAGTAATTAATGGAGGAAATTTAGCAGTAGAGTATGATCAAAACAGTCTAATCACTTATTTGCACAACTGTTGACCAATAAACAATATTTACTTCCTTTCAAAGTACTTACTCTAAAACCCTCAATGAGTTATAATGAATCTTTTTTTTTATTAAATTACAAATGAAATTTTCCTTTAATAATAATAAAATTAATGAATAGACTTAAACAAGTAAGATTTAATAATAATACTTATCATTTCTTGTAATAATAATATAAATAGTGTTTCAATGAAAATTGTAAGTATGCTGTCCACTCATTCTTCCTCTGAATCGGTTATTGCATTAATAATAATATAATCTTCATTTTGTTGCATTTTTAAATTAATCTTTAAACAAATGCTACTTTAAAAAATAAAAAAATGTTTTCAATCATCACCCAAAGTAATAGTACATAATTGCTTTTCACATAGATTTTTATATTGGGAATCGATCCTAATGGTATAAAGTGAACCAACTAAATGTTCTTGTCTTCTCATCATAATCAAATATTTATATTTTTATGAAAATAATTTAGGCAAATGGCGATTTCATTCTTCTTTGAAATGTTAAGCAATAGTGGAAATCCTCATGCCATAAGACAAAGAGTAAATCAATAGCGATTTAAGATTTTCTTATTACTATACTCTAATGATTTTACGATCGTAAAATTCTGTCCTAATTTTTGATGATTCTGATAATTTCAATATAAATTTGTATTTCTTCCAGAAGAAGTTAAGAGACACTAACCTCTTTATCTCTTAATTTCTTCCGGCAATGCTAGATGAAATCTCCTTATGAAGTTAGGCCGAACAACTTAGGCCGAAACGTTGCCAGATGCTATCAAATACTGCTATAATATATATTATTGACCGCACCCCTTACCAACTTCTTCTTAAATATTTTTTCTTATTGTTATCACAATGTACATTTTGATATTGACATTTTGTGCAGTTTTGTGTAGAAAAGTTTTTTAAGAGCTCATAATTAATTTAGTCTTTGCCAATATCCCTATAATTGTAAAAATGGTGAAGAGGGTTTCGATTGTTCACATTTATCATTTAAAAAATGTTTTACTCCTTTATATTCACTTTTTAGTAGGTCCCCTCTTCTCATGCTAAATTACTACAGTGATTTCATCCTTAGTCATCTATTGTAAATTATTTATTTTTTTCATTAAGTTTTCAGCTGCTAAATGAGGAAATAACAGTCCATAAAATAATATATATTATTAGGAGAAGGCCAGGCAAGATGAGGAAGCTAACTATTACTCTTTAGTGTCTAAAGGCACAATCAAATATTGATTTAAATTTGTAAAGAGAAATAAAATATCTTTAAAATTAAGATTACCGAATTTCATATCGATCACTTTAATTCTTACAAATGTAATCGCAAACCTAAAAAATCTCTCAATATATTTCTTTTTTTTATGTTTTAAATATTTGTTTGTCCTCTTCTCTTTTAATGAAGATAAAGAAAAGGAAAAAGTCTAATATTCACAGCTAATTTAATTTTATTATATGATTAAAAAATAATTAAGAATTTCTGCAAAGTACCAGTTCAGTGTATTTATTAATTTTAAAGACTATAACATTTTGCAGAAAAATAATTTAAAACAACATAAAGCCTAGTCACACTAGTAAGCATGTCTATAGACCAATCTCCGTCCATGGGCCTGCCGGGAGACAAAAGATCGCAGTTCTAAAGTCTCCCAATCGGAATGGGAAACCGCATGCAACATTAGACATGTTGCACAACATTTTGGCAGTGTGGATGCCACTCGGAATCTAGAGACAAGACAACTGCCGGTCTGTCTACAGCCACCGAACCTAGGTCCTTCAGCAAACACTTCGGGCATCCACCAACGTTTACGTTTTTGCGTTCTTTCACTTCTAATTGGCACTAAGCAGAAACTTATTCTACACAAAACAATGTTCTTCATGGTGGAATGCGAAGATGTGACTGAGAAATTCACATCATAATATGGATGTTAGAGAAGACAAAGAATGGTGTCTTCTGACAACTATAGATAAATTGCGCAACATGGTCTACTAGTGTGTGCTAAGCTTTAGATTATATAATATTTGAGACTATCTATGCTCCCAATAGTTATTGATATGTTATAAAATACTACTAGATCATTCATTGTATATTGTAACAAAGAATTAATACATTGGAAATAAAATTTCTTGAAAACTTCACTGTTATATTGGGGAGGAGAGTATTTCAGTAATGAGCTGTGCTCCTATGCTCTGGGTTCTAGGTTGAAGTATGGCTGTGGCAGTTCATACAATTATTTATTCTTCTACACCACCCGTGGATTGCTCCTGGAGTCGGGAGACCCTCCTGGGGCACAGCCATACTCTATAAAGTTTGTACTCATTATTAATTAAGGATAAAAATCTGGCAGTTGAACATGATTTCAATCAA